TGACCATTCTCACCTCTCTACAAATCCACTCATAACCATGTTTTATTCTATCAGTAAATTTCATATCACTCTTGCATACATTACATACACGTCGAGACGCAATAAACCCACTTTCTAACATCTCTGTATCTCATTCAACGTTCCCTCTCGACACAAATTATAAATAAAACCAACATTCAAACCTTCCATCTCAGTAGACACACATACCTATTAGAAGAAGACTTGAAATGCGAAAAAAAACATGCAAATCCACGCCAACAAATTGTTCAGAAACGTGTACGTAATATCTTATTAGATTTTATAATAAATAATTTAGTTGTTATAGTAACAACTAAATGTGTTAATAGAAGGCTGTTTAATTACCAACCCATGTCTATATTTTTATTTCAGTTCAAGAAACAAACTAACCCACATTTTGGCATTTTTAAAAGTGTTATGAAGTGTAATTTTACATATAGTGATATTTTAAATGTATCGTGATTAAAAAGAAATGTTTCGTATTAGCAAAATGTGTAGCTTTATAAGGCTTTGACCCGTAATCATATTACATATATTTGTGCTTTGGCCAAAGAAAATTAATCAATGCCACCTAAAATATTCTCGAAAATTCAATCAGTGATTCAAGTGAACTGTGCCACTATAGTCTTGGGAATCACAGGATACCATAAATGGGGATCATAAATACCAAGATCTGGACATATGTTGTAGTGCACAGTAGCAGAAAAATCTTCTATTCACCTTAATTTAAAAATAACATATCCTTACACTATGTACAATCACTAATCACAGCATTGAAAAATATTCAGTTTTGAACTTAAAAACTCGCTATCTGAACCTGTTGCTATTACAATATTGCCTAACCCTTTTAACGTCAACTGACGGCAAAATTGCGTTCCCCGAAGAAACTTCCGATCATCTTTTGTTTGTTGTATTTTACTGTTTTATTAGTTAATATTTTAGAGGGCTTTGGTTGGTTAAATCTGGCATCAACTATCGCCCGTTGGAGGCATATTGGCTTCGGACCACAACGCCATATCTATAACTTCTGAGTCATAAACCCTTGATTGCGCTAGAGACTAGACCAAGACTTTTCAGAAGGTCCAGGAAGAACCAAATGACGTGATGAACGAATGGCGGCAACGTTCATTCTATTCATCTTACATTTTCATTCAAATGTAGTGTTTATATAACAAAACCCTTTAAGACGTAACACACTACATTTCATAGTTAAAATCTGAAAATTTGTTTGTGTGAAAGCTTAAACGGCTTTCCAAATGAAAACCCTTAGTGTTTTAATACGTACTTTAAGGGATTTGTGTAATTGAATTAAAATAGAATGGAAGTCAATAAGCCTGTCTAGTAAACAGTGTATGGCACATGTGGGAAAAGTGATTTTATTTTGCGCGAGGTCTTGGGGCCACTCATCCAATTGGCTTCGTTTGGCGACCTTTCCCTCTCCGGCAAACTCCTACGCGAAATGATGTAATATGACGCTTTTATTATTCATATCGTACTATTCTGGTAATAGAAGCCCTCAAATGTTAATATCCGTCAAAACGTTTACCTCGAGTTTCAGCTCCATTACAGTCCTTTCGCTGTACTACGTTTACGATAAATTTATAAGAAGTAACGTTTACTTATGAACTTGTTGCTTGGAATCATTTTTATTTTCCCGTGTATATACGGAGTAATATGTGCAGTATAGGGGAAGTTATGTAATGCTGTGCGAAAAAACGGCGGATTTTCGGTAGATAAAAATTCATTGGTGGGCCCTGATAAAGAAATAATGGATAAAGAATAAATACAGTTACTGAATTAAGAAAAAAATCCTCTGACTCGTTGTGTAGCCAGAATTACTGTTTTGTGGGTCCTTGCCACCAAAAAACCAATTGACGGCAAACCGTCCGTCCGTCAGTGTGTTCACACACTGACACGCTAGCGCCTAAACCATACGTACGATTTTTTCTAAAATGGATATTCTTCAGTCGATTTGCCTCCACTCAAGGCGCCGCAATTTTGAAAAATATTCTTCAATATTTAGGGGTACTTTTCATCAATCCCCAGGACGCTTTCACAATTTTCACAAAAACGGCTTCAATATTTTCTTTCCATTTCTTGTAAAGATAGAGTAAAGTACACGTGGATAAAGTCAAAGTGGCTTAGGTCCAATTCTCACTCTGAACTTAACAAAATTGCAAAAGTTTGATTTGTTTGCGGCGTCTTCCTACAACTATAAAATTGAAGATATTTATCATTCAAATAAAATTTGTTCCTCATAGAAAGTTTTTTCAGTAAGGTCAGGTACTTTTTTTGGAAATGTTAGTACTTTTCGAGCAATATTGTGTGCAATATTTGCTATTTTTAAAAAAATTAAAAAAGAACATTTTCGCAAAAAAAGCTTCAATTTTTTCTACAAGCTCTTAGCAGGGATAGTAGTAAATGCACTCTACAAGGTTACATAAAACCGTATTCCTCTATACTTTTTTTCCAAAAATTACAAAAATGTAATTTTTTTACATTAATGTATTTATAAGTATATGTACATTAAATAATGTCAGATAAAATTTTTTGGAAACTCAACTTTTTTCTGTAAAAATGAGCTTAAACGTCCGCATTTTCAGAGACGCTCTCTGAAAAAGAATTTCTGAAAAAGAATTTTTCAGAAACGAAGCAGATAGTGATAATTGTACCCTTTTAGATGACATAGAATTAACTTTGCTGTATTCATTTATTTTTTCAAATATTACACAAATGTAATGATTTTAAATATCTCTCACGCCTTTGATATACATATTTCAAGCAATTTGTAAACATTATTGCATTTGTGACTGCAACTGCTTGAAAGGACGTCATACGAAGTTTTTCGAAAACTATATAGGAGGTTCAAATTTCAAATGTTCGGTAGCGTTTAAATGCAATTTCCATAAAAACGGCTCAAAATGTTTCAAAGAAACTTCCCATTTATGACAAGGGTTTATTGTTCTATAACATTCTTAAAATAATATTTCCGTTCTACTATTAGGAAGCTGAAAAATTAAGATTTTTCATTGTACTTTGGGCGGCGATAGATGTCAGCTACCAAGAGTATGTGGCAAATCCGAATAGCTAGCCGAGACCAATGAACACAGAAAACTAATACGGAAAATCTGTATCATTCTATAGCACCAGTAGTTATATAGTGACATCATACTACTTTCCGATTTAAATTTCTTGGCCCCACCTCGTAGAGGGTTAGGAAAGGGGGGGCGGGCTATTGTCCGATCGAGATCTGTCATTTGTACTTTTTTGTATACGGAGTAATATACGTAGTACAGGGAAAGTAATGTAATGCTGCGGGAAATCTATTTCGTGATTTAAACGGAAATACGCGTTTTGTGGTTCTCCAGGTACGGAAAAAGGTTTTTTTCAAAACGTCTGTCTGTCCGTCTCTTCGTCCGTCCGTCCGTCTGTGAACACCACTAGCGGCTAAAACATGCTTAGGATTTTTTTCAAATTGAAGAAAACCCTGTCTATGCTGCTCGAGGTGAAGCCTTGAGATTTTGAAAAACATTCTTTAAAATTTGGGGGTATTTTACTCTATGCCTCCGGACATTTTCAAAATTTTCTCAAAATAGGCTCCAAAGTTTTCTTAAATTTCTAGTACGAATAGAGTAAACTACTCTTATCAAAGCGGAATATGTCCGATTTTTTATTGATAATTCTGAATTTTTGAAAACTGCAAAAGACTGGATTTTTTCGACTTCTTCCTACAACTATAATATGGAAGGTAAAGATGTTTCCTTCAAATAAACTTTAGTTCTCCATAGTTAGTTCTTTCATTTAGGTCATGTACATTTTTTTGAAAATTTTAGTAGTTTACGTGCAATAATGCGTGCAATGTTAAAATATTAGAAAAAATATGTTCTAAAAAACGGCTTCATATTTTTTCTTTAAACTTTTGGAAGGGGTAGTGATAAATGTACTTTATGATATAACATTAACGCCATATTGCTATTTTCTCTCGTTTTTTTTCAAAAATTTTAAAATAGCATTATTTACTACTCTCAAGTCGTTAATATTTATATTAGCGGCAACTTGTTCTTTTTATTGTATTTACAAATACATGTGCTTTAAATAATGTCATACAAAATGTACCCAAAACTCAACAGTTTTCTGTGAAAACTAGCCCAAAATTCCGCACTTTCAGAAACGCTCAAACGTTTATTTCACATAAATAGCTCCAAATTTGTTCTTCAAAATTTTGGAACCGATAATGCTAATTGCAGTCTTTAATATGACGTAAAATTCATTTCGAGGAATTCTTTTGTTTTTTCAAAAATTACAAAAGTGTAATTTTTTGAAAGATCTCTCACACCATTAATATCCACATTTCTAGCAATTAGTAAACCGTATTGCATTTAAAGTGCTTTAAATTACTTTAAATGAAGTTTTTGGAAAAGTCAAAAATGTTCTGTGAAAAAGAGCTTCAAACGTCGAATTTACAGGTGCGCTTAAGCGCCATTTTCTTAAAAACGGCTCCAATATTTTTTAAAGAAAATTGCCATCTAGGGCGAGATTTTACTGTTTTTTCATATTCATAAAATAATATTTCCCTTCTACTTTTAGGAAAACGAAAAATTAAGAAAATGTCATAAAAATGTACATTTTTTGGCGATAGATGGCAGCTGGCAAGAATATTTAACAATTTCGTATAGCTAGCCGAGTTCAAAGGAAATAGAAAACTAATTCGGAAATGTCTGTGCCATTATGTAGCACCACTAGTTAAGAGGGTAAGACACGATACCCCTTCGTCTAACTCTGCAGGACTCAATAAGTTAAAATGTTGCAATAAATCATTTATTAAATTAGTGAGTTAAGAATTCAACAGATTGACTCAATTAAATACTATATTCAAAATCTTTATAACACGCACAGAAAATGAAATGGATAGTTGATTTGCATTCAATATATGTGAAATATACTTAAAGTTAAACCGAAAATCTTGAACTTTTTGTTTTCAGATGGCAAAAGTAACAGTTGACTGCTGTCAAGGGCGTGGCTTGAAGCGGGTATGTAGTACTTAACCAAGGGCAAGAACAAAGGCCCGAAGATGCTGAAGAACTTAGCATCTTTGGGGACGGCGGGAGCCGTACAAAGCGGAGCATCGCGAATTATATTGGTCATGAGACCCAGAACTATGTCATGTCCAAAAAGCTTAATGCATTCATTTTCGAATGCCCCGTTTAGTATCCGTAGCGCTCCCCCTGACAGAAACAATAACTACGGAATTGATAACCGACGTCATTGCATGGGACCAAGCGTCGATTTGTTTGAACCGGAATCACATATCCGCAGGTTACGTTTCACGGGCAACTGTCCACGTTTGACAGTCGAAAAAAATATTTCTAATCCCAGCATTGCACAAAGTAGTCATTTAGAAATAAGGCCAAATCGTCCCGCATCCTGCCCTCAGAAGCTCGTCTCACATATCACATCTCTGAAACTACCCCCAGGAAATGCAGAAAAATTTTATTCAAAAGATACTCTAGTAAGTTCTCTCCTAAACTCCAAGCTTTCAAACGGATATGCAAACACTGCAAAATCAGAGCGGTCTGCGTCTGAAGCGACGAAGACCTTTTCTACTAGTATGTCTTCGAGGCCGACTTCGAAGAGTGCAGAGAGGGGAAGTCTGAACAGATTTTCCTTTCAAAATATTTTGAAGCCTAAACAGCCAATCTCCAGTGCATCGAGGCTGTTTGAGATAAATCAGTCTGCCTCATATATACAGAAACCTGCTTTGAAGATTAAACAAAGTAATGAAAAACCTGAAGAGAAGGGTTTAAATTGGCATTTTGGGTCTCGTAGAAGAGTGTCCAGTTTTGAGAGGAAGAACGGAGAAATATATAAAATACCTGACTTGGCGGCCAAAGGCAAAGTTTCCCTGTCTAATATAAAGCGTCCTCAAACTGTGATTTCTCGTAACATGCCAAAACCTTTTAGTGCTCAATCGCAAATTCGTTCCTCATCCAATAGAATTTCCTCTCTGTCTCGACTCCAGAAGTCAAGTGACACCATCGTGATTCCATGTTGGCGAGCAACAAACTCCCCCAATTTTACGAATGCGAATAGATTAGCAAGACCTAGTCGATCCGTCACTGGTGCATCTAGTGGTTTACGTTCAGATAAAACTCCAGAGAAATCACTACAAAGACCGCCCGGTCATCCCTTTGAAACTGAATCCAGCCCTAATGTATTAGACAAAAAAACCTTTCCTAGATATACATCCATGAATAATGTGGAATCTAACACCGAAAAATCTGAATTAATTACTCTGTTGGAACCGCAATCGACCTCCAAAGGTTGGCGAGGAAACACAAAAACACGAATTGAGAAACTTCCTTTCAAGAAACCTAAACCTGAACCCGATTTAGAATCATCAAATGTTAACAACCAAGTTGCGCGTCCTCACACTTCTCCTAAATATCATGTTTTTACACGTACTGAAACAAATAAATTGCATCCAGGAACCATGAATGCAAACAAACAGATTGCAATGATTTATAAAGATAAGTTTGATCCAGCTTTATTAGACCGATTTAGATTCAGAAACGTAACAACCAATAAATACTCCAATCCCAGCAATTTCAAAACTATGATGTCCCAAGCTTCCTCCGCCTCTCGACCTACAACTTCGAGCTTCGCAAAAACCGCACCCCTTGCCAAAAAGCAATCATTTACCAGTAGCGCTGTGGTAAAAGCTCTCGAAATAAGAAATAACCTGAATTTCATGAAGAAAGCACCTACTTTTTCCCCCGGAGGAAGAAGAGATTCTTTCGTCGTTCGTCCTGTGACTACCGCTAGGCATGCGCAATCGGCAAGTGGTTGGGTTCCGTTTATCAGACCTCCTTTAGTGTCTACAAAGCCTAAAACAGACAAGGGCTTTCAGAATCCCGATACGAAAGAGAATATCGACAAATCGATCAGTATTCCAAGACGTCCTCTACGCCAGTGGAAAGAAAAAGCAGAAAAATGGACGGATAGTGTGACCAGACGACCTGAACGCGAACCAAGAGGGAGATATGACAAACATTCCATGAGTTCGTTTAAGCGTAAGGCTAGCGAAAAATTTGAAGTGCCAAATACATCCAAGACGGACAATGGAGCAGGCAGCGGCATTGGTGGTAGCAGGGACGGGCGAAAAAATATCCCGCTGACCGAAAAGGCATCAACTTCCCTCAGGAATGTAGGTAAGAATTCATCTTGAATTAGTGGAAAATTTCATCGCCAAATTGTAATAATGAAATTTCTCTTAAAGAACTCAAAAGTAATTATAGGAAAATTGAAACTGCACTATGTGTCAAAAGTAAAAAAAATATGTTTATCATTAGGAAACTTGCATATTAAAGAAAAATAGGCAAAATTGGGCTTGTCTTAATTTACTCCGTGCAACATGAACTCATTAATTGATTAAACTCTCCATCGGTAGTAACATGGAATTGTCGCTTAGAATAGTGTGTTCTATCTTCGATGAACTCTTCTCGATGTAGTGCACCATTTTACTTCAAAGTTTCCAATCGCATAGTTCATCATTTCAATAAGATATCCATTATTGTGATGTAGGCTTTTCATAACACACAAGTTAACAGCTAAATAAATTATGTTTTAAAAACCACTTCAAATTTAGATGGTGATTCATTTCATCTATAAAATTTCGGTATCATCATGTTTCTCTTAATGAAGGTGTGTTTATTAAATACAACAAAAAATGCTTCGTTATTAAACTCAATGTAATACACATGTATGAAGTTTACGCTAATCACTCGTTTGGCACTCGTATTGTAATATCACTTCTCTCTCTTGTATTATCATTATTATATGATCATTTCATAGTATAGTATTCGTAAACTCCTTCTGTATGTACTATAATTTATAGCAAATTGTGCAGACACTTTCCAAGCATTTAAAGAGAGTTCAATTATATATCATTCCAAAGAAAATTATGTTTCACATGTAAGTATAGAATTATGATACACTGGAAATGTTTACCATATTTTTTTTAACCCTATAGAGGAGTGGAATCTTAAGAAATACTATGTAATTGTGAAAGAACAGTTGTTACAAAAGAATTACATAAATTAAAATTATCTTTTGGTCAATGACCGCCATCTCGATCTGCCTTTGTTGTCCTTATTTTCGAAATATTCGAAAAGACAAGCCGAGATGGATCTTAAACCAGGTCCGCTCAGCCTTTTGCCTGATGAAGTGCAGCGCGATCACTCTCGCGGGAGCGGGATACACCCACGTAGTAATTTTACGCGTCACTTTGCAATTAAGACAATGGGACGGTTGAAACTAGGATTATGGAAGCATTTGAACTAAGCATTTCCCTCTGGCCAGCAGATCCGTGTGTGGCCCAAATCACAGCGAGAAACATTCCGACAGCCCACGAGAGCACTCGCGAGCACAAAATGTCAGCTGGCTGAGCTGATCTGCCTAAAATCATTGTACAAAATTTATCTTACATAACTTTCTTCATTCTTACACTTCTTAATTCATTGCAGGTACCAGAAAATTCCAGGTTTCTTTGAAAACTTCAAGACATCGTCCTGGATACTATAGATGGTAGACTGATCATATTGTACCCTGAAGACTTTGTTGCAATGAACCCTTTTATTTTCAACTCAATAAATTAACCTCAAATCTAATTGCTTAGTTTTATTTGTTCCAACGATCGTTGATGATCTACTGGTATTTTGATCTAGTGAATCTACTAATAAATCAGGCAGGTACTTACATATTTGTGTAATGGTCGTATGCTCTGTAAACTGGACAAGAATAGGGATCGGAATGGCGGCCAGGGACCGAATAGGATTACATTCGCACTTTCTCGGATTACAAATATCGCTGCTCTTCTTATGACCCTACGTGAATTACAGGACACCACGCAACATTTATGAGAATTATTAACAGTGATCAAGTCGAGGATAAACGTATTTCAGATCAATACATGAAGAAAGTATCTTTTACTTTCCCGTATACGTATGTATATGAGTTATTCCTTGTCAAACCGCACACTTTTACGGAAAATTTACTTTAATGTCCCAGATTTTTCAACATTTTGTGTGAAGACTATAAGCAAAAATATGAAGCACGTGTTTTTTTCATTTTTTCAAATATTATTTTTCGAGATTAATTAATTTTCAATATTAAAAAAAATGCTCGCATTGCTAAAGTTATTCATTTTTAACTCCAGTTGTAATTTCAACAGATATATAATATTCTGCAACTATAAAGAACGAAAGATACTTTTTCATTGGATTTATTCTATTGAATTCATTAAATTTTTTAAATACTTTTTTTACTTTTTTATTTTTTAAAAAGGCAGTTTAAAAATTTGAAAAAATCATTGCAATCTCTTAAAAAGTTCTACACAAGAGTGGAGAGTTACAATGTGGTATATTGAGATAAATTTGAGAAATTAAATACAATAGAAATGTCTACTTACACTTTTGCTGCCGCGACTGTTAGAGCATCACCCTTCAAACACGTGCCAATCAGCAGTAAACGATTACCATCAATATACTTTCGCAGAGCTGTGAACAAAAGTATCCTTTCACACCTTACTATGTGCCACATTTATACCTATGAGCTTCATAGCCGATTATATTCAAATTAAATGTGTCAGACGGATTTAATTTAGTATTGGACGGACGGAATATTTATACGAATATGATACTATTAATTCAATTAATATTTCTTTTACTCCACTTTACAGAGAATATCGTTAATTGACCTTTTCACAAAGAATTGACTATTTATTTTCTCTGTGCCTTCTACTGTTTTTTATTATATTATTGTTGCAATAGTCCTTTTCCTAAATATTCAGTATTGCTAAAAATATAAAGATAATGTTCTTTACATTATCAACCACCCACAACTTAAATAACTTCCTGGGTAAATTAACATGTTCCTGTCAGAATCAGCAGTCAGAAGTTACAAGTACTGTCAGAGGGCTCGCTTTTATCAAGAATTCTATATTTGCTCCCTCCCACTACGTCGCAAGGTTCCTTTCCATAAGACGTTGCGAAACGAAGAAACGCCATTCAGCACTCACGTTGAAAACATCTTTGCGGAAGCATGAATTACCATTGTTTTGTAATACTACGCTGACCCCATCTGAAAAATAAGTCTGTAATCACTGTCATACACTCACTTGAGAAGTGTGATGAGTTTACATTGGCAGTGATGAATTCGTGTTTTAGGCATTCAGAAACAATATTATTTTATTTTTAAATTCTTTGCTTTCTTTGAGGTATAGCACAAAAGTATGTAGAGTAGACAAGAAATTAATTCACAGCAACCACTGAATTACATCTTCAAGTACGAAAGAATCATTTTCTATAAAAAGAAATAAAAAACACTGGACAATGAATATTTCCAGCGTCAAATTATATTTTTGTTTCATGAAGAGAGCAGAAGAAATAAACGATGAGTGAAGACAGCAGAAGAAACAGAAGACAAAGTTATTCGGTCAGTGTCTTTATTACTCGTATCAGGGGATTCGTTAGTTTGACCAAGACCAGCAGTGCACATTATTCATCATTGTCACTGCCTAACATATTTGCGTCATTAATAAGAATGGCCGATTCTCCTTTGACTTCACTTGACTCGTCACGAGAGGAATTTTGAAAACTGAATTTTTTCCAATAAAATTTTTTGACGGCAAACAGTCAATTTTTAACTTCCCAATGATACTGGTTGTAATAACCTAACGGACAATTCTTCTGCAATTGTAGATTTTCATATTAAAATGCAAATAATAGTATTGATATTATTGTAAGTCTACCCGTGGTTTCTAACTTCACAGAACAACGCACATGTTTCGCAGACTCCTCCGTTTACACAACTGACTCAGTATATCTGATGGAGAAGGCTGTTCTGTTTCAGGCAGACCCTAGCAGTGTCAGTTGTTTATAAATAACCTTAATAGTCGTATTTCGTCAAAAGATTTCCATTTGAGACCGTATGTGTGTTTCTGCGATTTATGGCATGTCGGAAGTCTCATGGTTGCTTGATGTTTGGTCGTCACGATGCGTCGTGTCACTGACGTAGTTCGAGCAGTCAGTCCAGCGGGCAGTGGGCTGCCAAAGCGCTCCGGTGAACAAACTACTTGTTAAACTGTTATTTATGTGTGTCCTACTTTGGAATTTGGCAGATCTATACAACATTAGCATATAAATACATAATTCTGTATTACAATTAATTTAAGTGTCGACCTAATGTAAAAATGTGCATCTTAAAAATTAAAATATATTTTAAAAATTTAAATAATATGTTTACAAAAACTATATTTACATCATATGAAAGAACATATTTTTCACTTGACTTTAGACTAATTTTATTTTTATGAATAAAATGGTATTTGCGCCACTTGCGGTATTTGCGATATTTGTCATCTACATTCAACTCTTAAAAACTCATAAAAAAGTGTCAATTCACTAAAATATAGTGATGTTTCATGAGTGTGCGATTTGACATGAAATGACTCATATACGGAGTAGTATATGTAGTATAGGAAAAGGTATGTAATGCTGCGGAAAATCGATTTCGAGATATCAACGGAAATACACGTTTGGAGTCCTTTGATACCGAAGAAGTGTTTTTTAAACATCCGTCCATCAGTCTTCCGTCTATCTGCCCGTCTGCGAACACCACTAGCGCGTAAACGCTGCGTACAATTTTTTCCAAAATTTATATTCTCGGGTCCATCTGGCTCTACTGGAGACACTGCGATTTTGAAAAACTTTCTCCAAATTTGGTTGTACTTTACATAAATCCCCCCCGGATATTTTCTGAAATTGGCTGCAAATTGTTTCTTTAAATGTCTTGTAAGAATAGAGTAAAACACACTTATCAAGGAGACATAGGTCGATTTTTTAGCGTTGCGTGCAATATCTGCAATTTTAAAAAATAACAAAAACATGAGTTTCTAAAAAAACTGCTCCTATTTGTTTTTTAACGTTTGGTAGGGATTGTGCTAAATGTATTCTATGAGATAAAATAAACATCAGTTTGCTCTATTCTTTTGTGTTTTCAAAATTCGAAAAATGTCATTTTTTGACTTGTCTTTCACGTCATTAATATTTACATTAGCGGCAATTTCTTTACATTAATGTGTTTATGAGTGCATATGCTTTAAATAATGTCAGATACAGTTTCTCGGAAACTCAGCTGTTTTCTGTGCTCCAATTTTTTTCTTTAAATATTTCGAACGGATGGTGCTAATTGCACTCTCTAATATGAAGTAAAGTTTATTTCGGGATATTCTTTTTTTTAATTACGCAAATGTAATTTTTTGAAAGATCCTCACACTGTTAATATGCATATTTCTAGAAATTTGTAAACACCCTTGTTTTTTTGCGTCAAAATGCTTCAAATGAAGTTTTTCGAAGGAAATTCGAAGGTAGTTCGAAGGAAATTTGGAGGAAAAATTTTCCAAGGAAAAGAACTTCAAATTTCAAATTTACAGTAGCGCTTAAGCGGCATTTTCTTAAAAATGACTCAAATTTTTTCGAAGTAAATTGCCATTTAGGACGTGGTTTTACTGTTCTTTCATATTCTTAAAATAATACGATTTCGTATTTCCGTTCTTCTATAAGAAAACTGAAAAATTAAGAAAATTTCAAAAAATGTACTTTGAGTGGTGAAGTTATTGTATTAAATATTATCTAATAATTTCCGTGATTGTATTTATTTGGAAAAGTTGAATTGAAAGTAAATGGGAATGCTAAAAGGTTTAGTTCATTCTGCTCTATGGAAACAGTAAGGTGTCCTTGAGTCGGTGACACCTGTTGCCATACCCCCTCTCTCTTGGCAAACGAGATAATTTCAGAAATGGGAAATTATGGTGACCATGGCATTCCTGTAGATTTGACTCCAATTAACTGACACCAAGAAACCTATGACCAGTGTAAGTAATATATCTAGCATTATCCTCAATACGTGAATGAGTTCAATAAGAAAATGGCTAAAGAGAGTCAATAGCCCCCAAACGTTTTCAACCAATATCCCGTTGTAAGAGATATATGTGAACGAAGATTTGTATCCCTTACAGACGGGATCTCGTATAAGGCAAATGTTAATACAGGATCATTTATTGCGTGCAAATTTTATTTCGTTTAAATGCTAATTTAATATAAGTAATCATACATTCTAAGATTATATGTCAATTTCACTGACTTAACGAAGGACGTTGAGATTTGTTTATATTGAGAATGACTTCCTCTCCAGAGCCAATACAATTGGAATTCTCAAACGAACTACCTCTAAATTGCGCGGTTGCCTCCGACGCAAAGGAGCAACCAGACGATCAACATCAATATCACCACGATGATGAAAAGATTACACTGTACCGCAAAGTACTCAATGTGTAAAAATTATGAGCCTTACGCTTTTCAAATATTACACACGTTCACTCTGCTCGCCTGAATACGATGACATTTGCATTAATGAACTGTCGGAGGAACGCGCGTTCAGCTAATGCCAAGGAACAATACAGAAGGAATGTTTTTTCTCTTTGCAAATATACAATCTGTTCATATTTGAACATTGACTAAAATGTGTATAGGGTAACACCTTTCACAGTTTACAGTTCACCTTTCACACCTGTGATATGTTATTTCTGTAAGAGTATTTCTGTGGACGCAAAACAGTTCTTGTCGACGGAGCTTGAGAGTAAAACCAATGTAACGTTCGACTCGTGGCTTGAGAAAATTTGTCGTTTCGACTTCCGACTCATACATCTCTGAAACCTACTACATGCGAGAATCTCTTGTAAAAGGGTCTTATAGAGACAAGAAGAAAAAATCTCGTGATATGTGTGTGGGGTCTTGTGAAAGCCACATTATATAGGGTTCTCTCGTGAGTTCTCTGACCACAGACTGTGCTTTGGTCAGTGTAAAATTGCGACGTTCTTGCTATTAATTTTCAGATGAATTATTCGGTAAGCTACTGTATCCATGATCTGGCAAATGTTGAGTAAAATGTTTCACAAAGTGATTTTGGGGGAAGTCCTTAATTTAAAATATTGTCAAATTTTGTATTTTTGAAGATGTTCTTAGTCAATAAAAGTCTTGGTGGTTTTGTGTATCCAGTTGCACACAGCTACCCAAATACTTCATATAATCTGTCGAGATAAATGTTTTTCAACTGTTTATTCAAAATTTGTTCAATACAAGAACATTTCGTGAAGGTTACAAAATAGGACGCAACGTTTGTGAAGTGTTTTTACAGAATCTTTTACAGTTTGACCAGTATGAGTCTCAAACCCACCACATAGTCGTTTGTAGAGAAATTCCCAAAAAACTTAAAAGTATCTTTCAACAATGACTTAACTTCTACTATTGACAAAATCATGCCAGGATAGCCAACACTAACAGTTGGGCTCATTTAGAAATGTTATGAAATTTCTGTGGTGCGAATGCTCATTCACATTGCCTCTGGAGTGTTAAATAACTTTATCATTTCATTCACAATTAGTTCCAATTGTTTCATGCTCTCAAATTAATACTTTTTAGATAGTTGAAAACATATAGCTCTTTAAAAAATACTGCTCTAGAATGAGTATCATTTCTCTGTTGCAGCCTCTCAAGTTTGGTCTTCATGGCATGGTTTACGAAGATCGATTCAATCCGGATACATAATAGCTCTGCGTGCGACTTCACCGATGTTGCGAATTCCACCTATGTTACCTGATCACTTACGATATGGATTACCAAAGGATGATTAAAGATGGGTTTCTTTTGGACTGATCATTTATTTCTTCAAAATTATGTGTTGAAAACCACTGTGTTGTGAAAATTTATTCATTTAGTCATAAAGACGAAGAATTGGCATTTGTTTAAATTGTCTAGTAAATTGGTTACCTAGGCTTTCTCAAGTTTCCACATGGACATAGTATTTTAAAAAACAGTCATGAATAACGTGTAATTTCCCAGTTTCTTCTCCCCCTACCCTTCATGTGTTTGACTACCCCACTGATTCGTAAATTTTAAGTAAAACTCGAAGACTGTCACAAATTAAAATTACCAATGTGGACTCTCACGTCTTCGGCCAGAATGGCGAAGTTGGTCAAAAAGATCTTTGACGGTAAGTTTATTTTTTTCCTTTTCTTAAACAATCAGTAAAATTGATATTACAACACATCTTTAAAATACAATTGTATGTCGATCACACATTTGAGACAATATTTTTTTAGAAAACTTATACAACACATCTTATTATGTTCTAAATTGTATCGTACTACACTCTCAGGAATGACAATAATATTGACATTTTCTCATTATTACACGACTTGTTATTCAAATCGCATTAACTATTTGGTGAAAAAATCTTCAAATCAATTTGCATTTAAGGAACACTCTCATTGCATTCACATTAAGATGTCAGCATAAGAACTATTAATACCTCCCTATCAAATTATGATTAATAATTTGAGTCTTAATTTCTTTTTGACAGCACAAACATATGAAAAGTAATTCTTAAAATATTTGTTGAGAATATAGTTTTCTGGTGCATTTTCATAACACAAACAATATATACCACTAAACAAAGTTTTTTTTCAAACTTTTCTTCGATGAATACTTTTGGGATGAGGTGGTACGAGATAACAAAGGAACATAGTAAAGGATGTAACTTAATGTAATCATTTTTTTAAAATGATACATCATATCTTGATTATCTTTCAAAACCAGAACTTGAAAAGAACTAATAAATGTATTTAACCAATGACCCATGTATCCGAATCGCCATATATTGTTAATTAGCATTTAATATTATAATTAATTAAATGATTCGATGTTGCTTCCACCCTCTGATTTTGCTAACAAATGTATTCGCTTTGGAGTTACTCATAGGGAGGTCTGTGAAGTTGACGGGCTGAATTTTGATAAACCTAAATACTTTGAAAGTTCTGAGTAGCAACAAAGACTTCTAGAATTCTCAAAAAGTTTGGAAATAATTCTGCAAAATTCCAAAATTGTAGCAAAAAATTAACTTTAAGGAAAAAAGGGCTGCGAGTAAAAGTCGGAAAATTCAAAATTTTCCATATAGTCTCAATTTTGGTCAAAGAGTTCTACAGTTCTCAAAAACATTCAGAGAAATTCAGAAAAAATTAAAAATAAAAAATTATTGAAAATATTAACATCCATTTTTCCCAAAAAAATCTAAAAACTATATTTCTTCAGATATAACCAGAGTTCAGGGTATGAAACAACTAGTTCTAAATCAATTCCAAACACCCTTTTGTCCTTCGACTTCAAACGCGGGAGTTATTCAATATTTTCATTTTTTGTTGTTGTTGTTGTTGTTGTTGTTGTTGAAAATTTGGTAGAAATATCTCAAAATTCTATTTCATCAGATATGAAGGGAGTTCTAAATAGCGACCAAGACGTTCTATAGAAAGTTTTAGAAAAGAACACTTTTCTCGTCCAACGTAAAACACGGGAATAACCTAATATTTTAATGTTCGCTTTTTGAAGCTGAAAATTAGGGAGAAAAAAGTGTCAAACAAATATATCATATTTGTTCGCTGCACAGAACTCTGGTCAAAACAGATGAAATATAATTTTGAAATTTTTTGGTGCCAAATTTTCCACTTTAGAAAAACGAACATGAAAATATTGAATAATTACCGTGTTTGACGTAAAATGCGTATTGGAATATTCTTTAGAACTCCTTGTTTGCTACTCTGAACTCTGATCAGAACTGATGAAATATGTAAGTTTGAAAATATTTCTAGCAAATTTTCTTGAAAAATATTATTATAAAAATATTGGAGCCCGAAATAGGTTTATTAAGTTATCCAGAAGATCACTTTTTAGAACCTTTTTGGAGATTTAGTTTCTTTAGGTGTCACCAGTTCATAGCAAGAGTAGTCAAGAAACGAGTAGAAATATAAATTTTAGTAAATATTAAATCTACATCACACACACAACACCACCACAACACAACAACAATATATATATATATATATATATATATTATATATATATATATATATATATCCCAATAAGGTTTTGAAAGGTGTCATATTTGAAGAACTTAAGAAAAAGATTTCGGGCCCCAATTGTTCCCAGCACCTTCCCTACAAGTGCCCATATGCTTCTCCGCGTGTTCTCTTCACGTATTTCTCTCATGTTCCCTATATGTTTACCACATATTCTCCACATACTCTCCATGTATTTGGATGATCATACAACCCTCGGAGCTTTCCCATGCGCGCCCCTACATATTATGTTCATCGCATGTCCCTCAACATGTTTATTTTAAAAATAAACTCTAAATTCTTAAAAACTTTAAATTGAGAAATAATTTTCTCAAATCGTATGGCAGAAAGAGGCTTCCAACAAAAGATAGCGCCTCAGTTAAATGTAATTCCCTATCCATCTGAACTTCATTGTTGCTGGGCACATGTGACGCGGGGCAGGGTCGAGGAGGACAGGAGGAGTGGGAAAAGGAGAGAGAGGGAAAGGGAGAGGGGTAAAAGAGAGAAGTAAGAGAGAAGAGAGAGGGGGAAAAGAGGGAGAAGGAGAAAAGAGAGGTAGAAAGAGAGAAAATAGAGAGACGGGGAAAGAGAGACAGAGGACGTTTGCCACGTTTTCTCTTAGTAGAAATAGAAATAATATTTTACAATTAAATTAAATTCACTCTGGTTTTCTCTGCAAACTTCCATATAGTCGATCGTGAATTTCCTTCTATACCCATTGACATTGTAGAGCCTTGTGTAATACACACAAACATGCCTTTGCCCTACAACTCACTAGTGATTATTATTTCGAAATGTCTAAAATTATTTCGTAAAAATGTACTCCTTAAAGCATTTTTTCCTACTGCCAGCATTCTTTGAAACGAGTATATCTAGACGTTTCAATACAGATCCACATACTCAACACAGTTCTCTAATATAATGAAATATAGAGAAAAAATGATATGTAATTTTAAATAATGTCCAGATAACATAAATAATAAAATATCGATATGAGTTAGTTCCTTGGATTTGCTACTTATTCGAAAACATTATTTTTAGTGATGTGAGTGATATTGTTAGTACTATACCCTACATATATGTTTTTTATATACCTATTAATGACTTGTATTCCACTAATGAGCATGACGTATTTTTATACCAAATGAGGACAGAATCTTTTCTGTCTGGCACCTCCGCTGTGTACCTCGAGCGCATGTACGAGGTCTGGTCCAATAACCCCAAAGATGTTCACAGTTCATGGGACCCTGTATTCAAACGCATAAGGGATGAAACGTCGCTGCCATCTTTGGTAATTATTTAAAATGTGCTTTCATAAATTTTAATGATTAATAAACAATTCTAAAATCATAAGATTTATTATCATGAATACGTTGTAATGAATCATTCGAAAACACAAGATGTTTGCAAGTACGAACTGTAATAACGCCATTTAACAAGAAAAGAATTAGTCGACTGATTCATTGCGAAAAAACAATCATTATTTTTATATCATTCATTAGATTTTAGGTGATAATTATATCTTACTAGGATTTTTTCAAGTTTTCGATAAACGTTCACTCAAATCATGTCTTCAAAATTATTTTTCATATGGTAATGTTACTTATGAACCAATGAATATATCGTGAGCTGCACGCCTGCATATTATTCTTTTACAACATAAATACATTATAATGCGAACATACAGCTTTTTTATGGCACCTTCTTTGGTATATCTCACCTTTGTTTCACTTTCTTTCCCGCTCTACCCTATGGTACTCTACCCTACGGCATCTCATCGTTCCAGAGCACTGTTGCACAGCCTTCTGTGGCCCCTTTCGAAGGGCTTCCCGTGAGCTTGCAAAAAATTAAGCAACAAATGGTTGTGCAAGATATAGTTTATCACTATCAGGTAAGAATCCATCATCTAGAATTGGGGCTATCTCGTGCAGTACTCATACTTGTAACGAATAATATATATATATATATATATATATATATATATATATATATATATATATATATATATATATATAGCATTTCTCCGTGATTAAATATAACAAATACTAATTGTTTAATAACAATATATAGAAATATGTATTCTCGGTAGCATTGTCTCTAATCCTCCTAAGGATGCGTAATCATATATAATATTCAAAGTTCCACGATGGACTCCAATTATGGGGGTCTCCTTTATACAATTGCATCAAACAATCGACATCAGACTAATACACCTTTTCAGTACTCATGTATCTTAATTAAAATAAATAGAATCAATAGCTGCACTGTACCTCAAGTATTATGGACATGTTCATTTGTTGGCAGAATTTTGGTCACTTACAAGCTGAAGTCGATCCTCTGAAACTTCGCGGTCCTGCAGTCGGAACAAAATTTGTGAGAGCTGAAGATAAACAGTGGCCTGACCAAGTGAAAAAATTGCTGCAGGAGAACCAGATGACTGCCATGAATGAAATGTTCCTTCTTCCAAACGACTCTAGCATTGGAAAACCTAACGAACAAACGTTACCATTAGGTGAAATACTGAATCGTCTCCAAAATGCATATTGCCGATTTATAGGTAAGATAGCTTTTGCTACTACTTTTTTTAGAATTGAGAACGACAACGTTTGCGAGACGTGTACTTGTATATTGCAGATCTGATTTCAAATTCTACAATGAGCGAATTTTTAGATGGATATACAGACTATTTTTTTATATTTGTTCTTTCTCCTTGTATTTCTTCTTGGCCTCCTCTTGTTTTCTCTCTTTCTCCCTTTTTCATCTGAGCATGACGGGTATAGTTTTCAGGTGTAAGGCCTCTCTTATTTCGATTTTTTCTTGCAGTCCATTCGTGTAAGAGATTGGAAAGCAAACATGCTAGTTCCTCTTCCTGCTTCAAACCTTTTCCATTTTCCACGTTTCACATTTATAATCGGCCTTCAGCACCACCTTATTTTCCGTAAAACCAAAATATTAATTTACTAAGACTACTGTATCTATACAATCGATATTCAAAAAATTAAGACTGTTTTAAATTATTGTTACTCGTTTTCCGAGAAAGTATCCACTGTTTGAGAACACTAGTTTCTTTTGCTTCTTTCTCGGACTCCTCCTGACCTTTTTTCCTTCTTCTCCATGATCATTTTTAATAGCATGGATTATTCTTTCTAAATGAAGAAATATTCGGCGTCTTGGATTTATCAATAATTTTCAATGCTCGAGTGATATTTAGGATAACTATTTCCTCAAAAAATACGTTTATAAACTCACATAAAATTAAAGTTAAATTATGTAATAATAATGATTAGTAAAACGCAATATACGCGCACGTTCTCTTGAGTCCTACAATGTATGTTCCCATTCTCCTTAACATTAGTTGAATTTGGGATAAAAATGTTAGCGGCGTGCGTTATTGACAAAATCTTATTACCAGGAGTGTTCGCTCCCTGTACAGTATTTGAATAACTCCTCGAGTGTGCGAATGTGCAGTTGTGCGGTTCCGTCACTCATGGTTGGACCAATTCCCGTACACCAATCGGGACATACGGAGTGTCATTCGAAGCGTCATTCGAAGCGTCGCTGTCTCATCGGGAACTGATAATTTGTTTTTGGATCCGGCCATATGATTCTAAGAAATTTCCAAAAACGTGTTTTTTTCGTGTTTTGGTGCTGAGATCTTGGCGAATATGCTGGAAATTAAACTAACGCATCGTAAACATCTGTGAAGGTGGTGTTGATTAAATTCCAGTACCTAATGGCATTTTTCTAAGAGCAAACGAAGAGAAAGACAAGGAAAAAGACGAGACACGCGAAGAGAAAGATAGAGAAAAATTTAGATGAAGACAAAGAGGAAACGGAGAGGAAGACGATGGAGAGGAAGGCGTATAGGAAGACGTAGTGAAAAGCGTAGAGAAAGAGGTGGAGAAAGGCGTGGAAAATGATGTGGAGATTGACGTTGAGAAAGACGTAGAGGATGACATAGAAGAAGACGCAGAAGAAGACAGAAAAAGTCTTGGAAGACAAAGAATACGAGAATACAAAAACTAAGAATGAGGATTCCATGTGGCCGTGAATGTAAACAAACAAATTTTCTTTGGGAACTTGTTAGTTCCGACTTTTAGTAACGACTATATTAGTTCTTACTGGTATTTTTCCTTTAAATGTCATTGTTTTTGTTTTGTTAGAGGATATTTTTAAAGTAATGTTCCTTCGTTAATTGATTTGAAATAGAAACAGTCTGTAATCTTCATTGTCCTGAATAATCACCTGATCATCAGCGTTTAAAAGGAAGTTAATAAAAATTTTCTTTCCAAGTTAAATTCCTGGGTCAATTAAAATTCTCCATATTCTATACATTTCCATACATAGAATATGGACATATCGTCAATATAAATATTACAGAGGGTTGGTGAGATGCTGCAACCCTGCCTTACTCCCTTATTAGTAGAAATCGTTTCTTTCATTTTTCTTCCTTCTACTATTCTTTTTGTGGTATCCTCGTATAGACTCTTTATTGCTTCCACTAGGCTTATCGGGTATCCCCTTCTTTCAATGATAGTTATTCCATTACAATTTCCTATTTACATCATCGAAAGCCTTTTCAAGCTATATAAAGGCTAGGTGGGTTTCGCGTTTGAATTTTCTTCTTTCTTAAAACACTATTTTTATTATGAAGATGGCATCTCTGTAAGATCTGTCTTTCCTGAATCCTACATCTTCTTCTGAAATTAAGTGGTCTGCTATTAATTTTAGCCTCTCATATAAGATTCTTGTACATAACTCGTAGATTGTTGATTTTACCTTTTTGAATGCAGTAATTATAACCAAGATTATTAACAAGTTGTGTAATAGGAACTCGTATGAAATAACAATTCCTCATTATAATGTCTTATGTCACGAAACTAGGGCCTTCTGGTATATAAACGTTAACGAAGGTGGGGGAATAAATCATGAAGAGTAGGGGTGAAACAAATCATGATTCTTAATAGAAACATTTGTATACGATCGTAGAAAAGTGTTTATGTTTCCTGCGATAAGTTATTGTTTTTTTGCACGATCGAGATTAAAGGTTTTTTTGCTGAGAACAATAGGTCGAGGCAAAGACCCTCAATCGAGCAAAAAACAATAAATTCACGTACTTAACCCTTAGTCACTGGTGTCTTTTTTTACCCCAGGGACACATGTTTCGCAACTTTCTGAAAACTATTCACATGAACTTCTCCTTCTAGATATGCTATTTACGTCCAGTTTTACATATGTTGTAATCTTTTCGGTTTTCTAAGTTTGTTTCTTTGTTAGAAATAATTTAATTTTAATGCGGATGAAGTCAAAAATGACACATTTGACATTAAATTACAAGAAAATTCTAAAAACGTGACCATTTCTTTTTTTAATATTATGTTGCGGTTTCTGATTAATAAATTGGTGAATTTGGCCCCAAGCCGCCATCCTGATTGAGGTTTTCATTGATACATAAACGAAAACGTATGTCACAGATTACGTATCTACAACAACTACATATAAAGAGCGAATGAATCAAACTAAATTGGCCGCTAACTGATCAATGGAACAACATAAAATATTTAACGTGAATAAATTAAATGTTTTATATGTAAAACAGTTGGTCTTAGGATTACAAATGTAAAAAATGTAAACGTCAGTTGTGTTTACCCGTTCTAAAAAGTATGCTATAGCAACACTGTCAGTGACTTTTTGTTTTTGTTTTTATTGTTGTTTTATTTTACTTACCAATATTTATACATGTATTCTCCTTCATACCTTTATTTACTTTTCGTGGGAAGTAATATGTTCATGACTTCATGAGCGTCTTCTAATATTTTCTCTAATATTTCTTTCAAACAATGGAAAACCCACTGAAATAGATCTTTCGCAAGACCCGCAATGCGGGCGAGCCCGGGTTAAAGAGAACTTATTTTTAGGGGATATTTTTATTATTTATGGTTCTAAACACTACTAGTGTTTCCTATGCACATTTATAAAGGGGACCGGATAAAAGTTTTGCGGGCGGACCCTCACTCATTCCGTTACTCTACTGACTGAGGTCTTACCGCATCAGCTACTACTGACCTTACTATAACAGTGATTTGCAGGCTTGAATTAAAATAAAATGAATGCCAGTAAGGCTACCAAAAAATGCTGTATGACACACGTGGTCAAAGTAATTTTATTGTGTTCATAGGGTTGCTCCACGCGACGTATCACCTTTGTGACGTTACATTTCCTACTCGCCCATTAAATTCCACTTTTACCACTAATAACTACGACTGTGAGCGAAGTATCATACCCATTCGGGTGTTATTTTGAAAGTCAATAAGAAACACGTGCTCTTCTGGATCCGAAATTACACTGATTTAAATTGTTAAATGCAAACAGATTTACAATATTTGTGTTTTATACAAACAATTTTAGATATACTTTCGAACATTTATTATGCATGTTAACAGTTAAATTTCTGCCGTCTTGCTAGCACCAGATTTTGATTCGGATATCTGGGACATCGTTTGAATTTCATAACGCGTGGAAGAGATTTCGCCCAAAATCTTGAAGCTACTCTCTTTTTATTTTCTGACGAATCTTCAATGTACTCTTCTGTTACCGTAATAAGCTTTCAGCCGCCGTGTCTTGACAATCAGGCGATCTTCAGAATCAGTAAGCACTGATGTTGGCAATCTCCGAAAACAATATATTGTGAATTGTTCGAGATGTTGAAGATTAAAAAATGTTAGAATATTTCGAGGTATTTTGCCCATGTACTAACGCCCACTTACTGCTTCATTCATTTTCTATGTCTAAATGTTAGGAAAAATCTGGATGAATGTGCATGAGGAGGCTGCATGGCTATGATATACTTTCTGAATACTTCTACCACATTTTTCTAAGTTCCCGGTAGTGACAAAAATAACTCGCAACCTTTGTTTTCGTATCAGGCATTACGAAGCAAATAGTCCTTCATCTTTTGCGTTTTCTACGCCTGTTAATTCACGGGTCTTCGTGCACCTGTAATTACATGCAGTGCAACTTGCGTCATCAAATATTTGCTCCAGCCACTTGATGAATAAGTAATATCTCCTTTTTGAATTTTCGATTTTTTCAGTGGAGAACCTTCGGATTTTCTTTTTTGAAATGCAAACACACGTGCTTAATTACATCGGCATTTTGTTATAATGTTAAAAAGGAACATAACATTGAATAAAATAATCATAGTGAAGAGGGTTCGTCTTCTTTTGATAAGTTCTCAAATTAAGCTAACAAAACTATATATCATTACAAGTTTTCACCTTTTTCGCATTACACCAATTTTGTAATTTTCCGTTAATCAGTTCATTTTTCTGGTAGCTGCAATGCCATGACATTTTTAGACATTTCTTCAGTATATGAAGAAATATAATCACTATCAACTTTACTTATTTTCCCTCTCAATATCTCACAAAAGAGAAAAAGTAGATGCAAAGTTATTGTAAAATCAACAAGAAAACTCGATAACGTTTTTAAAACTAATATTGTTTTCAACGAATGCCAAATTAATCAAAGAATCGTAAGTCTATCGACTACACAAACACACACATTCAGTGCCTAACTGTTGATTAATATGTTATAAAATTAAATATAAAATTACTCAGCGGCCGTTGTATACAATATATTGAATGGTGAACGCGTTATGGCGCAAAAGCAATGCTCGTTATATTATGGTGTCACGTTTCTCCACATCAAATGCATTGCAAGTTGCAATGAGAAAGTTTTGTTGGCTCATTTTGAGAACTTATCAAAAGAAGACAACCCTCTTCACTACGGTTATTTCACTCAATATTACATTCCATGCTAACATTCCTCCATCTCGATCAGTTTTTGTCGTTTCCCTGATACACTGAGCAAATGCTGAGAAGGCCCCCTTGAAGAATGTTTTGCTTCTGGACGTAAATGTAGCTTCACTATGCGCACGTTTATTGAACTCTCCTTTTGCCTGGTAGAACTAGAGGTAAGGGTGTGTTACTATTTTGTTAGCAATGCAGAAAAATCAAATCTGCAGTTTGTTTAGCATTGCAAATAAGTTTTCTATAACTCAGAAACGAGAATTACTATTTTTTCAAATGTCGCTAATCTTGCGCTTTTTTTAAATTTTATTTTTAATAATTTATGGGGAAGGGATTTTGGAACTCAAGAAAACGTGGACAGATTATCTTTTCCGCCAAACGTCACATACAGTGTTTACTGTTTTTTGACTAAATGAATCTAAATCTAAACATTAAAACAAAATGTCGATATAAGTGAGTATGCATATCCGATTCTATTTCTGAAAAGAAAATCAAAAGGTTTTCAACTTAAAAAATCGAAAATTTGAAAAGAAGATATTTTCACTTATTCAGCAAATGGGTGTAGCAAATATTTGATGATGCAAGTTGCATTGATCGTAGGGATTGCAGGTACATGTAGACCCGGTGAATTTATTTAATTAAAAGAAGGGCAGTGTATTTGCTTCGTAATACCTGATTCGAAAACAAATATCGCGAGATGTATTTTGTTACTACCGGGAAGATAGAAAAATATGGTAGGCATATTTAGAGTACCAGAGCGGAGTGAGGAGATTGCAAAGGCGACACTTCTGACCGTGGGCAGCGTTTTGGATCGGATCTTTAATCCTGGCGGGGATGGAATAAACCACCCTGCTCCCGGCGAAAATAACATCGAGGAGTGGGCAGTGGAGTCACAACCGTGCCCATCGACCGCGTGGAATGTTAGGACTTTGACATCACATGTAAAATCCATGAGGAAATTGGAAACCCCTGCCCGGTAGTTCAGTTTTCCGGCGTCACCCACGTCGAATGGATCGAGAAGGGCGCTGTGGGTAGTAGGGGAGGTGTAAGCCCACATGGACCCGGCATGCCCCTTTGGATTGAACTCGACCTGGCTCGTATCCCTCGGTTGATTGGTTGATTGATTGATCGATTCATGGATTGATGTTTCCGCGTGCGTCAGGTAATAGGCCATTAGTCCCGTAAGTGTAGTGTATGTCTTAATCGCGGAAGGTTGCTGTGATCTCGCCCTCGTCAGCGCCACATTACACGTCAGTGTGCCGTTTTCCCCAACCATGTACCTCCACCTGAGGGGCACCGCCCCGGCCGAGCTCCCGACACCTGTGGTGGGGTAGTGCCTGTAAGTATAAGTGTGTGTAAGTTCAGGTTAGAGGATAGGACAAGGAAGAGAAAAGAGGGATCGCTCGCGGACCGCGGCCCGTTTCTTACGATACTGCTCCGGCGTCGCCTGGTTGTGATCGGAGAAACCACGGAAAACTACCGATCAGAGCAGGCGGCTGCTACAAATCTCCCCCCAAGACAACGGCTGAATTCGATATAGCTATCTAGCCAGTGTCGAAAATCCTGCTATCGTTGGAACTCAAACCATACCAGAACGAACTACGAACCAGGGCCTTCTGATCAGAGCTGGCCCTCGGCTCTTGGGGACAGATAATAAGGATGGATTCGGCCCGGATTCCGGAGGGACTGATACACATATTCCTTTAACCAATCTCAGATCCAACAGCCTGTCCCTGGAGAGGTGCCCTAACCAGGTTCTTCTCTGTCGAAGGGCCAATGGGTTTCGGGAGGCCAAGCGCAGGCGAGCTTTGGGACCAGTCAGGGAATTGCATGCACTCCCATGGCGGTTGGGAATAATATTGGTAGTCTCCTCTTACTGAACCCAGAGGCCACAAAACCCCCTGCTAAAGAGCAAGAGGACTCAAACCACATCATCACCTGCCTCTTGATGGATATTAGAACTTCTTCTTGAAACACAGAATATTATATAGTTCACTGTACTTAAATAATTTTTGTGCTTTGAACATATTTACAGGTGTTGAGTATATGCACATCCCTTCACCAGAGAAGAGGAAATGGATTCGTGACCAGTTTGAACCAGGTGTAAAAGTTTTAACAACTGCTGATAAGAAAAGAGTTTGGAAACATTTGTTAGAATCAGGGTCTTTTGAACAGTTTTTGACTCGCAAGTGGCCTACTACCTTTCGATTCTCTCTTGAAGGTTGTGAAATTTTAGTTCCAGCATTACAGCAAGTTTTACATAGGTATATTGAAGTATTTTTTAAACAATTGATAAGTAACTCAAACTTTATTTGCTAATTCAGAAAAATTGTATCTAAATGTTTCCTTTCTGTCATCTCAAACTTTACAGATGTGCTGAATCTGGTACTACCAATCTTGTTTTGGGAATGGCTCATCGTGGGAGATTGAATGTAATGGCAAATATCCTTCAAAAAGAAATTGAAAAATTATTAATTCATTTCAAACGAGATGTGGATTTTGGGAAACTTATTGGTGATGTTAAATATCATTTGGGATGTTACATCACTCAGAAACATGAAAGAACAAATAAAGATATGACAATTTGCATTGTATCAAATGCAAGCCACTTGGAAAGTGTAAATCCCATTGTTCAAGGCCGCTGCAAAGCAGAACAAATCATCTTGAATGACAAAGATGGAAAAAAGGTAATGCATTTTTAACCAAGAGCATTTTTTCATTTTTATTGAGAAAAAAAGTGAAATATTTATGATAAAAAAGTTCATGATACAAAATATCTGGCAAAATTAAAGGATTCACATATAATTGGGAAAATGCAAGGACTGTAACAAAAAGTTATTTTTTTAATAAACCTTTGATTATTAAACAACTATTGTTGTTGAAAATAGTTCCTTGAGGTTTATTTTTATTTGTCTCATATTTGTTGTGCTATTTGTTAATATACAGCATATAAGGCAAGGTCCAGAAAGCATATTACAATTTTTGTTTCTTTCTGTAAATATTTGGAATATTTGAATATTTGTTCTTTTCATTATTTAGTTTTATACCATTGTAAAATGACAGTTTTTAATTATTGTAAAACTTTAATATATTCGGAAATCATGAGGATGCAGCAGCAAAATACACATGATTAAATACATTGAATATATTATAGAATTTCTTAATATTTCTTAATTTTGACTAGTAGTATATTTCTCACTTTTCAACTATGAGATTATTGAGAGATAAAAAGTTTCAATTATTACATAAACTTTACACTCATAAAATAAAATAAACATAATATTCAAATGAAATTTAAAGATTACAACAACAAAAAACATATCCAGCACATCAACTTTTAATGAAATGAATCATGATTTAATAATTGAGTACTGATTTCAATTTACTCCATAAATTACTGCATGGAAATCCACAGAAAGTATAAAATATTCATTAGAGATATTTTGGATTTGTGTTAAATTTTTTCTACTGCATTTTCATAATGATGTTATTTAGGTGATACCCATAGTTGTCCATGGTGATGCAGCGTATGCTGGACAAGGAGTTGTTTATGAAAATAATACATTGTGTAATCTTCCTGACTATAATGTTCATGGTACTCTTCATATTGTAATAAATAATAATGTGAGTAAAGTGAAGTGTATGATTCATCCAACAATTTGTGAAAATTTTGAGTTTAAAATTATTATTTTTTTTAGATTGGCTTCACAACTTCTCCAGAAGAATCCAGATCATCTCCCTATTGTACAGATGTTGCAAAAATTGTGAATGCTCCTGTATTCCATGTTAATAGTGAAAAGCCTGATGAAGTAATGCATTGCATGAATGTTGCTTGTGCTTACCGGAACCTTTATCATCAAGATGTTGTTGTTGATTTAATATGTTATCGTCGTTATGGACACAACGAAGCTGATGAACCAGCTTACACTAGTCCTATTCTTTACTCACATGTTCGAAAACATGTTCCTTTTCCAGATACTTACACCAAACAGTTACTAACTGAAAAAGTAAGATAACAGTTTTTAAAAGTAAGATAACAATTAAAGTTTCAGCAATATTTGTACATTTCCATTACATCTTTTTTTATATTTGATAATAGTTTTGACAATTTTATTATTTAAGATAATTAATGTTCATTTCTTTCTTGTGTTTTTATTCAAAGGTTATAACTCAAGAAGATATTGAGAAAGAAAAGAAAATTTACTTTGCAAAATGCGATGAAGCCTTTGCAAAATCTCAGAAGTATACAACTATTGACTGGAAGGATTGGAATGACTCACCTTGGAAAGATTTTGCTACAGGTTACATAAATGTTTCTAGTTGCACTGTACAGAGTACTTCACATTTAAAACTTATTTTAAATGGGTTATTTCATATTGTTTTCTCAGGTGTAAAAAATGAGCTAATGCCAACTGGTGTTCCAGAGGATGAGTTAAAGAAAATTGGTTTACAATCTATGGCTGTGCCTCAAGGATTTGTAATTCATAAATTGCTGGGAAGGGTATTTCAGAACCGCAAAAAAATGATTGAAAGTCGTTCACTTGATTGGTCCCTAGGTGAAACATTAGCTTATGGCACGTTACTAGAAGAAGGTATACCTATACGTTTGGCTGGTCAGGATGCCCAGCGTGGCACATTCAGTCATCGTCATCATCTCTTGCATCATCAAGAGAAAGATAATGTTAGAATTTAGTCACTTACATTAAATTTTGAAGTGCATGTTACACAAATATTTAAAATGTTTAATGTTTTTCAAAATGTTTGATGTTGTACAGGAGAAATACATGCCTCTCAATCACCTTAGTCCCAAACAGGCAAAATATAATGTTGTGAACACACCTTTGATTGAATATGGAGCATTAGGATTTGAAATGGGCTTTGCCATGAGTTTTGGTAATGCGCTAGTTGTATACGAAGCTCAGTATGGAGATTTTCTTAATAATGCACAACTCATAATTGATGCATATCTGTCTGGTGGTGAGAGTAAGTGGGGACGTCAGTGTGGTCTGGTAATACTCCTTCCTCATGGCTTAGAAGGTTTGCTTAACTTACTTCTTTAATTTCCCACATTTTTATCTCTAAAGTGTTATTCATAGTTTTGATACATTTAGTGTTGTGAGTTTATGACATTCAAAGTGTGTTTCATATTTTCTGTACATTAACAAAAAAAATTTTAATTTTTAAAATTTGGTTTCGAGTTAACGTTTAGGCAGTGGTACTGAAAATATAAATTGAAATATTACATTTGAATATAAAAAATATAATTAACAATTAAATTTTCCTTCAAAAATTTGCTGATACATTCCAAATAAATCAGAACTCATTTTTAACATGGAAAAATGGCAGTAAAAGGTGTTTTTTCTCAAAACGACTTGCTTTCATGGCACCTATGTTAGTCTAGAGTTTCTCCATGTTTCGCATCAATACCTGCTTCTTGTTCATTCTGTTATTTGACATTTTAATATTGTAGGTTTGGGTTCCGAACATTCCAGTGCCCGTTTGGAACGTTTTCTTCAAATGAGCTCTGAAAACCCTGATTTGGTTTCAATAATGAATGAACCAAACTTTCCTTTCAATCAACTGAAGCGCACCAATTGGATTGTAGCAAATTGCACAACACCGGCAAATTTTTTCCACATTTTAAGAAGGCAAATGAAGTTGCCATTTAGAAAACCTCTTATTATCATGTCTCCTAAATCTCTCCTCCGTCATCCTGAATGTAAATCAAGCTTTGATGAATTAATTGGCAGTAAGTATCGGAATATTAATGCTGTAAAGTGGGAAATCAATACTATTTAACATCTTTCTACTTCAAGCAATGTATTCTTCCCTTGGGGCAAAGATTTAATCTTCTTTCTTGTTGGCAGACACATCATTTCAATCTGTTATTCCGGAATTGGGACCTGCTAGTAAATCTCCAGATTCCGTGAAAAAGCACATAATTTGCAGTGGAAAAGTGTTTTATGACTTAATGTAAGTATTAATGTAAGAAATGGAATTGAAATGATAAATACATTGTTTTGTATTCACAAAAGTCTACTAAGGGGGTTTAAAAAATGTTGTGAATCACATGACAATAATTTACAAAATATGTGCTACAAGTGGTAAGAAAAGAAGAAAAGGTAATCTCCAATGACAAATAGGGCAATGGGCATAATTAAAACAAACATTAATTTAAAATTTCCATCTGGATGTTATATAAATTTATTCAGACACCTATATCATAAATTAGCTGTGCTCTATGTTTTTTTTTTATTTCAGTCACTACTTTCATTCATGCAAACATTTTTTTAAACATACTGAATACAGATTTAATTATTAATAAAAAAGTCAGTCATTTTCTAAATAATTACTCATTGGCTAAAATACTTTATCTAAATTATTAAATAAAAATATATATAGATGCTTGTCTAGTATTTCCATGTTTATTTATCAGAATTCTTTGAAATTTCTCATCAAAGGATTCTCAATAAATGGTATGATCAAAAATGTTCAAAAGATATTTAGAATCAACCAATTTTCAAAAATATGCAAAAAAAAGAAATAGAGCTTTAACTTGTATTGTAATTGGATTTTTTTCTAGTACATGAACAAATGAATCACAATAATTTGTCCTGCATATTCGTTTGAATAATTCAAAATTTGTAATTCTTATTTTATGAACATGTTGCTTAATATGTTGTTTAAGAAGTCATTAAAGTTTAGATTAAAAATCAAATCGTATGAGGGTTTGAGAAGAAAAATCCAATAATGAAGAGAAAATATACACATACAAATACATATACATATATTCATAATATGATTTTTTGAACAAACCACTTTGTTTTATTTGTGTTATTTTTCAATTAGTTGATCTTTGAATATTTCAGTCTTCTTTAATTTCTTTTTTATATTATTTTTATTTAAACAGAGAAAAAAGAAAAAAACAAAATTTAGATTCATCAATTGCTATTACAAGAATTGAGCAAATAAGTCCTTTCCCTTTTAATTATGTTGCAAACGAAATTAATAAGTACCCCAATGCTGAAATTTGTTGGGTACAAGAGGAGCACAAGAATCAGGGGCCATGGTCCTTTGTATTTGACCGATTTAATGCATTATTGAATGATACAAATTGGTATGCATTAACATATGTGGGGAGAGGCGTTTCTCCAGTTCCTGCTGTTTCAACAGTGCACAAGCATAATATAGAGCGAGAAGAATTCCTAGATGCTGCAATGGTAATATCAGAAGACTTAGAAGGCAGAGGTATAAGCAAGAAAAAATTTCATCCAAGAAAAAAGCAATGAAATAATGTAGTGGTGTTGATCATTATTTTGAAGAAATAAATGACTTTATATATTATGTATGTCTTTAACGTCTATTAATTGCTTTTACATTTCATATTATTATCATTGTGTTGTAAATAAATATTAGTTAATTTCGATAGCGTTTAGAACCATATATTTGTCTTTCAAAGCAATTGTCCTTTGTCACACAAGTTTGTGGATTTAAGTTCGCGGTTTTTTTATGATAGAGCCAACTAAAGAATATTAGCAGTGAGAAAGATTTCAAGGTAGGACGGCCATTTCATGAGATGTATTTTACAAGTGCTTTTCTTCAGTTTATGATAACATGAGGAATTAATGAATTCTTGTGGATGTTCATGATAATGATAAAAGCATTTTCATTTGATCTATTTGGTTACAAGAACGAGCGACCGCATTTGTAAAGTTGCCTTGATTGCGTTTGTACGACTTGGAAACCGTCTCCGCAGGGGTATCCAGTGGCGAGTTTACCATGCCATTAAAATGGGCGGACTTGTGCGTGCGCGAAAAGCTGTTCGGGTCGTGAAATCTCGATTCGTGAGTGTTTTGAGAGTGTAATTTTTTTATTTGACTTCTTACAAAGGAGATTGTGAGTCTGGACACAAGAATTCTGATGTGTTTTTGTTTTGATTTACTTTGACGAGAAAAAGTTCCTCGATAGCTGTACTGCCGTTCCTGAAAATGGGCCTGAAACGTTTCGATGTCTACTTTGACAATCCAGATGCAACATATTATGGTGGACAGACAGTATCGGGTAGATTATTTCTTCATTTAGATGCGACGAAAAGGATTAGAGGTAAGCTAAATCGTTTTGCTTATATCATTGTGAGTGCTGGTTTAACAATTATCTCACTGCCTGTCATGCATTTATTTTCATTTCACGTTTTCGGGTACTTTGGTTTTGTTTTTAAAGTGGGATGGTATTTATTTACTGGAAAATTATTGATTTATATCTTTAATTTTTTTGTAAAACTCTTTATGATTTACCAATATAATGTTTTAAGATCTGAAGCGATGTGCGAGGTTTGTGAAGCCGCAAGCATGGTTTGATGAAGCGACCTCTTTAACGGATTATAAAGATATTTGTGCTTATTTTATCCAGTCCAAACTTAATGTAGACTTTGATTTCTCGGTGACGCTCCATTTTTTTGAAGGGATATTGGGTGGGTGGAATAAGGCCAAAATATGCTTTCTGCCACAATACCCGTAACATCATTACCACACTTCAAAAAAACCTCCACATTTTCTGACGCTCTTCCAGTGTTAGCAGTCTTTTCAATTTTCATAGCATTGTAATCTGGTAGTGCATTGAATTGTCATAGTATTATTTGGGAACGTTCCTATTGAATTTTTTGAAACATGAGATTGCTGCGGTCCTAATGGAAAGGCAATAGTCATTTAACACATGTGTGTGATTTTGAGAGTTCATTAAATTTTCGCAGAATTAAATTTTAATGTTTCATTCTCAGATATTGGTACGACATAAAAAATAAAACAAGTTTTCACAGTTTCTCCGAACAAAATATTCCTTAATCCTGCGTACTCCGCTATTTATTTCATAAGTATAGTAATCCATACTGAACTACTACATGCTCAGAAATACAGGTGCCAAGATAACTTTCACGAGATAGTTTAATCCAATGTTTTCTTTAATTCTATGGCTAGTATATCTGAAGTTCGCTTGCTTGCCTACGATTTATTTACGGTACATTAGAGTGCGATGGAGGTGAACAAACCCAAATAAACGGCAAATTTAGACATTGTCTTTGCCTATTCGATTTTACGAGTGGAATCGAATACAAATTTCCGTCAAAGATTAGGATGTGGTTTCAAATTCTGCGAGAACATTCACCTTCTTACTTCTTTTTCTGAAGTGTCTGTTTTTGTGCCAACTTTCAAATTAATAGCATGTTTGCTGTATCCTGGAGACTGAATCTAATTATAACTGGGAGGGCAGTGAATTTCTGTTTTTATCTGGGAAGTCTGCTGTTACCTCATGGTTGGAGTGTTTTGAGTGAAAAAGCTATTTGTGGGAAAACATAAGAGCAACAAGTATTTTTAACTAATTCAGAAATCACTACACTTTCTTGTTACACACTTAATAATTTTTTACCCAATATTAGTTTCTTTAGAAATATTTTATCATACTTCCTTACTTTATGATGTAATTGTTTATACTTCACTTGTTGATTCTTTGTTCCCAAGGGTCATTTGAGCTTTATTTGGCCACTGTACAAATAGTCTTGGAACAAAAAAGATTGGAAGACATTACTGCCAATGATTGTCATGTTGCCAACTCACATGGTCCTGATCACATTAGAACCCTCATCAAGTGACTGAGGCAGAGTCCTTACTAAACTACCTAATAAAGTAACTCTTCTTGTTGTATTTTTTCAACATTGTTAAATGTAATCTTTTAAGTTGATTAGAGGGAAAACTTAATGTAATTCATGTTCTCAAGAAATATTAATTTTTTGAAAAATAAACATGAAATATATTTCTTAAGTCTAACTACTTATTCACAAATACATTTTTTACTAAGGAGAATGGCCAACTAATAATACACAATATCCCTAACTCTTCACTTTAAATGCAATTTCAGAGCAGTCACTTTTTGGAAAACTTAGAAAAGTCAGGGAATTTCATTGATCTAGAAAAGTGTGGGAATAATCAGGGAACTTTTAGGCAAATATTAAAGAGAATTTATTTGCTAAACAAGTTTGGGACGACATTATTTGCACAATGAGTATTTCTTAAGCAAACATTTTTAAGGTCTATTTCATGGTGAAATCTGAGCTGACAAATTAGTAACTTCCCCATGTCTTCCTTGTATTTAATATTTTATTTTAATGGTGAAATATTCTATAACCTTTATCAGGTAAAGATGTGCTGATAATGAAGGAGAGGTCTGGGAAATGTGTTCCAGGAAAAGTGACTATATAACTATAGTGTCATATAACTTTAGTTTTGACACTAAAGTTCGGTAGATCATATTGATTAAAATACAAATTATAACTTGAATTAAAAAGCAACAAGTATTACAAATGATGGTGTTATGGCAACCTGAAGCTAATCAGTTCTGTCAATTTTATCACCCCAAGGAAAAAGTTTTTGTAAATCCAGTCATTCCATAGAAGGTGCTTATATTTATTGCATTTGGTAGGTTACACTTTCTGTTGCTTTATGAACATGTTTGTATTTGTATTGTTTGTACAGTACTTGGATTGCAAAGTTTCTTTTGGGAAGAAATTTTGAGGTTTTAGATGTATGAAATGTTAGCACTGTTGCCCCAACCCCTTCATGTAGCACTCACAAATCGTACAAAAATGCACAACTGAGGTAGATATTTATTTATTCTACTTAGGATTTTTTCAAAGAGAGAAAAAATGAAAACTGGGTGAAAAATATGTCATTTTGAAAGGGAATTGTTTTTATTTCTTAAATAACCTTCCTCATTAGTGATGTGGCCTCAGAGAAATCAAGAAAAGTTTAATACTTAAAGAAGGAGCTTCCTTATTCAATCCTTTGGTACATTATTAGTCTATTAAGTATATTTTCCCTTCAGTTTTATTCTTCATAATAGTTCCATAGATATTTGTGAATGTACTTAGGAATTGAAGTACGTGTTCGAGGAGAAGGTGAAGTGAGATGGACAGAAACACGACAAATACGTGAAGATGGTAAAATGCGCCCAAGTCATGAGTATTTTCGGGGTCATGAACAGTATTTTGATAACAAATACTATGTTCTAGGTGGTACAGGTGAGTTATTGATTTATTTTATTTCCTGTTTAATTCAAGTTATGACAGAAATCTTGTCTAATTTCAAATTTTAAATGGTAATTCCATTGTTTTATAATGTAATTATTGCTTGAACTTGGCTGTGATTAAAATGGAAACTACTTGATATTAGATAGTATTTAAACTTGATGGAACAAAAGTTCAATATCGTCTTTTGTTTCTAATTTGTATTGCTTTAAAAATTTGGACAGTTTCTGTCATAATTTTATTTAAATTGCTAATTTTTCAGGGTCCGATATTATGCTTCAGCCTGGTGACCATTGCTACCCTTTTAGTATAGTTTTGCCTGATACTCTACCATGCTCATATGAGGGACGCTTTGGTCATATAAGGTATATAGTGAAAGCTATATTAGAAAGACCTTGGAAGCACCACCATGATGCCAAAGCTGCTTTTACTGTAATTAATCACTTCGATTTAAATATTGATCCAAAGCTGAAAGTAAGATTCAAGAACTGACTTTAGGTTGTGTTCTTTTTTATTCAGCTTGTGACGTGTGTGTGTATGTGTGTGTGCAGAATTGCCTGTAATTTCCTGTTGGTGTAAGAGTTCATTTTTGCATCTTCAGACTTAATGCATGTTGTCTTCAGTCAAATGTTATTTGCAACTGCATTGCAATTTCAAATAAATTTGCAAATAAGTTTGTGAAATTTTGCTTTTTAATTGATTTGTTTTTTCTTCCTAGAAGCATACTAATTGCCTTTTTGCAGATAATGCAGATGATGATGGTGTGAATGATTATCATGATGATGATTTTTTTTAATAGCTCTTGGCTAATAAATAGTACAATGCAATATTGTCAATAAAGCCGAATCCATACAATGATATTATATCATTTTCTTTAATGTAATTAACAAAACATACTTAATAACACTAATTTATCCACATTTCCCTAAGTTTTACTATTCCTTAACTCTACTTTTAGTTCTAAACTCTACTTTCAATTAGTCGACTTCAAATATTAACATTTTATAGTCCATTCATTCAGATTTAGGTACTATTTCATATTCCAATTTATAAATAGCCTACAATTACAACACATTGCACCTGTAAGGCTATTGAAGTATGTTTCCATTTAATAAATTTCAGTATACCCATTTCTATTCAGAATGTGCGTCATACCTCCATTTACTAGAATTTGCAACCTTTTCAGACTTCCCTGAGCAGCCATAAATTACACAACAGCACTGCACTTATTTGAATGTAGGTTGACAATGTAATTTGAATAATTAACTAGAGAATACATTCCTTAATGTAACTATTATATCTACTGTTACCTAATTTCTTTAATAAATAATCCAAATGTTCCTTAAATAATATCCCCTTATCAATTTGATCCTTAAATAGGAATTTGAAACGATCCATTTCCATTACACTTTCATCCACAACCATACTCTTGTTTAGTACTACATCATTATTACTAATGACCTTTCACCTAATTTTTATTTACATTCAGCAATATTTGATTTGCTTTTATTCCTTTGACTCTATTTCTCCAATACATATGTAGATTCTGTTTCGGGTCATTTTTGATAGCGTGACAAGTTTCTGGGTCATGACAGTTTTCCCAGGCACAGTTTATTGCCATGATTCATCTGCATACACAGCCTTGTAACAAGCTGCCATTGTCTGTTAGCATTCTGAAAAATACAACACAAGCTTTATTGATACCTTTATTCATAAGACAACTATGTATAATGGAAGAGTGGGGTAGGGATCCTGAAACTCAAGAAAACTTGCAAATATTATATTTCTCTCCCATACAATTTTGATGATAAATAAATCAAATCAAGTCAAATCAACATTACTTCCAGAAAAGTTTGTACAATCTGCAACCAGATGTATACTTATATCATGTACTATCCAGGTATTTCATTAATATACAGAATAAAGAGTAGCCATACCGTACTTCACCTCAGCCTCTCCAGATACTCCTTGGTTATTAAATTTCGCATACTACCTCCTATATATCGTAGTCCTTAAGTCATTTTAATATCTTACCTGTTTATTATCTCTTGCCTACAATAAGTGAACAATTTATAGTTTCAAAAGCCCTTTTGAATTCTTTGCAAAATTTATATTTTATATTGCCTTTATCTCTCCCAGCCTTGTAAGTTTTTTTTAACTAGATGAATAACTGTCTGTGGAATGTTTACTCCTAAACCCTGATTGATTCTATTACTCAAGATATTATTTTCCTCCTTATGATTCGGTAAACTGTAGACTATGACTTTCTCTGCCACAGATGACTTATTGATAGGTCTCTCACTACAATTAATACTAATTCTTAACAAATGACACATAAACTGAGTAGAAGCATGAAAAGTGTTTTACATGAATGATTGATTTTTGTTGAGCACATTAATTAGAAATTAATTGTAGCTGTGCAAATAAGTTACTTTCTTACTGAAATAACTTATATTTGTTTTGCAACAACTGTAATAATTGGTTTGAATCAGGTTTGATAATGTTACATTCATAGATTTATTAAACGCACTTTCAATTGTGAAGAAAATCTACATCAGATACTTGTTAACACTTAGAAAGGTGAAGGAAGTGATAATTTCTCTTAAGAGCATTAAGTGAAATTTGGTAACACAAGCACATTTGCTAAAATAGAACACAACCTGTAGAGTGAACATGAAAATATAACACAACACTTGTTGAACTGTATGCCTTGATACTCAGATTATAATGTCATTCTGCCAAGAAAATAGAGATGTAAAACACATTATGTATTTGGAGTTTGATTGACTTTTTCTAGCTTTAGTTTTTAATGAACATGTAAATTGATAACTCAGCATTTTATTTATATTATTGAATAGATAATTGTTTTTATTTATATCACAGGCAGAATGGCTTTATCATAAGTCTGAAATCTTTCAAGTCCTTTCTCTAAAATATGAAAGTATGAAATTATGAAGTCTACTAGATGCACTATACATTGCAGTAAATAGCTTCTTTCTCTTTTGCTGTAGGTTGGTTTGCCATCATTTGTACTTATTATTGTGTAATTCATGTCTGAAATAATTACACATTTGTAGCTTTTTTTACTGTTTGAAAAATATTTTCTGCAATTACTTAAGACCTTACTTGACTGTATGAATTTTTTTATATGAACAACAAAATGTGCATTGTGAATCCTTATTACAGGGTGCATGCGAGTGCAGTGATTATGGCTAACCCATATAACAGACATTAATGAAATTACTCTTCATTTGGAGGGCCTTCTCAAAGTGCATCCTTCCATATTCATTGCTTTCTGAAGGTTGTGTATAGATATTAATTTTGCATGTTCTGTTAATTAGAGACTGAATTTTAAAGGGAACCAGTTGTCTTTCTTCAAAATTTAATGCATTAGTTGGAGTAATTAATAGCTTCATTGATGAGTAGCTACAAAATTATGTAAATTTAACTTCCATTTTGTCAGCATTTTTTTTTCTTGATACCTTCTTACGACAGATGTTACAAAATGTGTAAATGAGCAAGATTGAAACATATTAAGGGGAGAAAAATAAAAAAAGAATTAGTTATTTTGTGTCAGAAATAAATTCTGAAAAACCAGTGTAAAATGACAGGCTACATCAAGATGTTTGAGAATGACTGTTTCTAATTGCTGAATGGATCTACTTGCATTTCCAAGAAATTAAAGAATGCAAGTGGTGCGTCTGAGATTTTGCAACAACTGAGGATGGCAACTTCATGTTTAATGTAATGAAGTTTCATAAGTTCTGTCATTAAGGCAAATTAAATTAAGTGAATACATCTTTTTTGTCATATATTATTTTTAATGCTACATGTAATATAATTATGACAATCTCTTTACCGGTTTAAAATTTTCCCTTTAAAATGTGGTTCTGGGTCTGAAAGAAATATGGTTTGGAAGAGTGTTTATTTATATCTATAAATTTCAGGTTACCAATATATTGAATTAGTTATTTTTTATTCTTAGGACCCATTTGTATTAAGCCGAGAGAAATGGTTGGGTTGGTGGTGTTGCCGTAGTGGTCCTCTTGGACTGTCATTACGTGGATCAACAACTGGTGTGGTTCCTGGACAAAATCTGCCTGTCACTGTAGAAATGGAAAACAGCACCCGGCAGATGGTAAATCGTATCTTCGTTGAAATGGCACAGGTTAAAACAATTTTTGTTCATATTCCCTTATGCTAGTTTCCAGTGGCTGCTGGTGCCCCAACAAACTGGGGGGTTGCAACACCATCAAATGATCGAAATCTAATTTCCAAATTTCAGAACACTAATATGAAATAAAACGTAAGCACTTCATATAGATTAATTTTAAAAAAAGTAGAACGAACATCCACATTCAAACATTACTTATGCATAAAATTATTTTAATGTATAGTGTCCCAATTAGGTATGTTCATCTCCTGCACACATGCTTCTGATATTGATTTCCAGTGGATGATTGCCGGTATTATAATCCATACAAAATAAATCCACACACGCACGCGCACGCACTCACGCGTCCTCTCCCGCGCCCGCTGACTCGTGTGCGTGTGTGTTTGTGCGTGCGTGTGTGTGTTTGTGCGTGCGTGTGTGTGTTTGTGCGTGCGTGTGTTTGTGGTGCGTGTGTTTTGTGGTGCGTGTGTTTGTGTGCGTGTGTCGTGCGTGTGTTTGTGCTGCGTGTGTTGTGCGTGCGGTGTTTGTGCGTGCGTGTGGTTTTTGTGCGTGCGTGTTTTGTGCGTGCGTGGTGTTTGTGCGTGCGTGTGTTTTTGTGCGTGCGTGTGGTTTGTGCTGGCTGTGCGTGCGTGTGTTTGTGCGTGGCGTGTGTTTGTGGGCGTGTTGTCGTGGCTGTTTTGTGCGTGGTGTGTTTTTGTGCGTGGTGTGTGCGTGTTTGTGCGTGCGTGTGTTTGTGCGTGCGTGTGTTTGTGCTGCGTGGTGTTTGTGCGTGCTGTGTGTTTGTGGCTGTGCGTGCGGTGTGTTTGTGCCGTGCGTGCATGTGTTTGTGCGTGCGTGCATGTGTTTGTGCGTGCGTGTGTTTTGTGCTGTGCGTGCGTGTGTTTGTGCGTGGTGCGTGTTTTGTGCGGCGTGCGTGTGTTTGTTGCGTGCGTGCGTGTGTTTGTGCGTGCGTGCGTGTGTTTGTGCGTGCGTGTGTGTTTGTGGCGTGCGTGTGTGTTTGTGCGGTGCGTGTGTGTTTGTGTGTGTGTTTTGTGTGTGTGTTTGTGCGTGTGTGTGTGTGTGTTCTGTGCGTGCGTGTGTTTGTTGTGTGCGTGTCGTTGTGTTGTGCGTGGTGTGATGTGTTTGTGCTGTGTGTGTTTGTGCGTGTGTGTGTTTTGTGCGTGGTGTGTGTTTGTGCGTGCGTGCGTGTGTAGTTTGTGCGTGCCGTGCGTGTGTGTTTGGCGTGCGTGCGTGTGTGTTTGTGGCGTGCGTGCGTGCGTTGTGTGTTTGTGCGTGGCGTTGCGTGTGTGTTTTGTGCGTGCGTGCGTGTGTGTTTGTGCGTGCGTGTGTAGTGTGTTGTTTGTGCGTGCGCGTGTGTGTTGTTTTGTGCGTGCGGTGCGGAGTGTTTGTGCGTGTGTGTTTTGGGGGTATGGGAAGTTTGGGGGGGGGGGGGGGGCGTTTGGTGCGTGTGTGTTTGTGAGTGTTTGTGCGTGTGTGTTTTGAGTGTTTTGCGTGTTGTGTGATGGTGTGTGGCGTGTGTGTGTGTTTTGTGGTAGTGTGTGTGTTTGTGCGTGCGTGTTGTGTTTTGGCGTGCGTGTGTGTGTTGTGCGGTGTTGTGTGTTGTTTGTGCGATGTGCGCGTGTGTGTGTGTTTGTGTGCGTGTGTGTGTGTTTGTGCGCGTGTTGTGTAGTGTTTGTGCGCCGTGTGTGTGTGTTTGTTGTGCGTAGTGTGTGTTGTTTGTGTGTGTGTGTTTTGTGTGTGTGTTTGTGCGTGTGTGTGTTGTGTTTGTGCGTGTGTGTGTGTGTGTTTGTGCGTGTGTGTGTGTGTTTGTGCGTGGTTGTGTGTGTGTTTGTGCGTGTGTGTGTGTGTTGTGCGTGTGTGTGTGTGTTTGTGCGTGTGTGTGTGTGTGTTTGTGCGTGTGGTGTGTGTGTTTGTGCGTGTGTGTGTGTGTTTTGTGGTGTGTGGTGTGTTTGTGCGTGTGTGTGTGTTGTGCGTGTGTGTGTGTGTTTGTGCGTGTGTGGGTGTGTTTGTGCGTGTGTGTGTGTGTTTTGTGCGTGTGGTGTGTGTTTTTGTGTGTGTGTGTTTGTGTGTGTGTGTGTGTGGTGCGTGTGTGTTTGTGCGTGTGTGTTTGTGCCGTGTTGTGTTGTGCCGTGTGTGTTTTGTGCGTGTGTGTTTGTGCGTGTGTAGCTTTGTGGTGTGTGTTTGGTTGGTGTGTGTTTGTGCGTGTTGTGTTTGTGCGTGTGTGTTTGTGGCGTTGTGTTTGTGCGCGTGTGTTTGTGCGCGGTGTGTGTGTGTGGTTTGTGCGCGTTGTGTGTGTGGTTTGTTGCGCGGGGTGTGTGTGTGTTTTGTGCGCGGTTGTGTGTGGTGTTTGGTGCGCGCGTGTGTGTTGTGGTTTGTGGCGCGTTGTGTGTTGTGTTTGTGCGCGTGTGTTGTGTGTTTGTGGCGTGGTGGGGTGTGTGTAGGTTGTGGCGTGTGTGGGTGTGTGTTGGGGCGTGTGGGTGTTGTGTTTTGTGCGCGTGTGGGTGTGGTGTTTGTGCGCGAGGGTGTTGTGTTTGTGTGTGTGTGCGTGCGCGCTCATCACTGATCTGTGGTCCCTTTTCCGCCCTTCAGTAACTTAATTTTAGTTTGTCATAAAACTTTCAATAGAAAATATTTTCGGATAATCATTAAAATGTATAAAATTGTATCTCAGCATGACCTGAGATTAGCCTTCATTGTACATAATTTTTAATGAGGCATTCGACCAAAACATTTTGAATTAAAAAACTTTACTTTAGTTTGCAAATCACACTCAAGCATTTATAGGAAGGGCAAATACATACATAATTTTTAATGAGGCATTCGACCAAAACATTTTGAATTAAAAAAACTTTAGTTTGCAAATCACACTCAATTGACAGGCATTTATAGGATGGGAAAATACATTTGTAATATCCTTCTTTCCTCATTCGCTGAAATGAAACCCTAATCACCAAACAACTTAAATGGTTTGTTTTTCAGAGATAAAAAAATACATGTGTATATTGGCTCATATCTTTTAGCCAATGTCTGCCCTTAATTACACAATATTTGAGAATAACGAAAAGCTAAGTTATCTCTTCTCCTTTGTATTCGTAAATCTTTTTTCAAAAATAAGATCACAATTTTTTAAGTGTGAACAGGCACTGTCTTTTGCAATGTGTTATCAAGACGGAATGCCAACCGAGTCTTATTTTGAATGCAAGGAAACTTATTAAATAGGGATAATCCAGTGGTATAGCTTCAGTTGGTGTCTCCCAGGGCAATTACCTCTCCATCTATAAATTAAATATAAAAATGTCTATTACTGAATAATTTATATATTTTTTCTTTGCTTTCTTAGTATTTATGATTTTAAATGTGTAACTATTAAAACGTGCGCGTACACACACGCACGCGTGCACACAACACGGATATTGTGTATTGTGGAACCGATCATTCCATGTATCAATGGACAAAAAGTAATATTTCTCAATACTTTAATGAAGAGAACAATCGCTAACAATTGCCTTCCATTGTCTAAAATTACGAGGCTAATTTTTTACAGTAAGTAATCATTTTCGATTCCACATGGCGGGTAAGTGCCGATATCATGGAATTCTAGATATTTCATAAATATTCTTTGACAATTGTCCAGAGCTTTTTGAAATCATTTACGATCAGGCGACCATATTACTGAAGCGTATTCCAATTTAGATCTCAGTCGCAAAAAATGACGTATTTTAGATATATTTATTTTTCTTTCCCAGTCCCACGAGAAAACCAAGTGTTTTATTGTAGTTCAATATGAGAGACTAGTGCTGTAAATGTCAGCTGATGGTCAAAAATGACCCTGAGATCCCTTGCCAAGTGAACTGATTTTAAAGTAATATTATTAATTGAATATTCATACACAATTGGTGTCGATCTGTATTATGACATGGCATGACATTACATTTGCTGGGATTTAGAGTAAGTTTAAGTCTAATACAATTCTCTTAAAAAATATTTACATCATCCTGAAGTACACTACAATCCCGATGCAAGGTAATTGGCAAGAATAACTTGACATCGGTAAAGTCATGATGTCGTTAAACCATTTATTATTAATAACAATGGCAAAAATAGGGGACCCAGATAGAAACCTTGCGGTATACCTGATAAAGGAAAATAGAATAATTACCTACGTGTATTATTATCATTATTGTAGCCCATTACAATCCCGTAGAGGGCAGGGACCTCCGATTATCGGGTGGGTTACATAATGGTAGAATTCCCGAGCATCCAATTCGTCAACTTCTAATAGGATACATTCGCTATTTACATACAAAAATAAAATTTTAACGCTATTTACAGACAAAATAAGTAACACTTCACTTTGTCACCGTCAAATTTAACACTGTTCGCTTCGATTTCACTACTTAAATCTAATTATCTAACATTTAATCTTGCTACTTTCTGCATTGACACTTAAGTTGGTGAGAAATAGAATAAACTAGTTTAGGACGTTCATTGTGTTGGATTTAGACATGACCACTTCTGTCGATCCTTTGCCGAGGTAGACAATTGGCTGCCAAACAGTACAACAAACATAACTGTTTCTATACGATTAGAGACTATACCGAGAACATCCGATAAAAGTTATTTGTATATTTACTTATTTATTTTCGTCAAAAACAATTAAAAACTCTGTCACGTGCTATGGGGAGACGTTAATTTGAAGTTACATTTATGTTCAGAAGCAAAACAAGGGGCTATCTCAGCATTTGCAGAAGGATCAGGGAAATTGGACGAAAACCTGATCGAGATGGGGGACATGGGCCCAGAAGCTAAAGTACAATACTTGTTACAGTTTCTTTCCAATTATACAATCCAAATGCTAAATAGTACGTTAAATGTCATTGTTTAAATTAATATTACTTTCCCTTTGGATGCTTGGTATAGTCTCCAATTGTATAAAAACAGTTGTGCAGCTGAAAAGATTTTAC